CGGGCGACGTTGTGTCCCGTTGTTTCCCGTTGCCTCCCTTCGTCTGCCGTGGCCTCCCGTTGCCTCCCATCGCCCCCTGCTGCCTCCCGTGGCCTCCTGTTGCATCCCGTAGCCTCCCATTGCCGTCCCTATCCGTATCCCTATCCCTATCCCTCTGCCCCTGTCCCTGTCTTTATCCCTCTGGTCTCCTTATCCCGATCATGTTTATACACCTATAGATAAGTCAAATTCCGATCAGTATACCCATCCCGATCCCTATATACCTATATATGTCTATATATATATATTCCTAGCCCTATGTCCCTGCCCAACTCCTTCCCGATCCTGATCCCCACAGTGTGGCCCCCATCCTGACTTTCCACAGTGGCCCCCATCATAACTGTGTAAAGCTGTTTGCCGCAAGGGTGTCATTTGGTCAGTTGGCCGCCATACTACGAAGTGGAATTTGCCCGCTGATGTGAACTCGTGAAGTGGGTTTGCCAAGCTGACGAACCTAAGTGTGGTGTGATGCGCGGCTTTCGAATCCTAAATGCCACCTTGATCGAATCCGCTCGGTGACTGAAAGCGTCGAGCGTCATTCAATGTTCCCGTCTGCTGCTGTTCTACAGGCGGGAGTCCGATATGGCCTCGCGACAAGGAGGCAAATCCGTCTGACCTGGTGGAGAGACAGTGGGCGATGGTGGCCCGAGCAGAGACGGCGTTGGGTGCCTGATCGGTGAAGGGACATGAGTCACTGGACTGCGGGGCAAGAGCCATGGCAGGATCATGGAGGCGCCCACAGTCATACATACCCTGTGACGTACCCCACCCAGCTGCATCTAGGGACAGGAGCTGGCCCAGACTTGCCAGGGCAATGACAGTGCAGGCGCCGTTATATGTTGTGCAAGCTACATGGGATGCGCCCGCGCGTCACGATTCAGAGGGCAACAACAGAAGGACGAGGAGCGAGGGCCCAGGCTTGATGAAGGCATGGGGGCGGGAACGAAGGGCCGAAGAACAACGCGCGGGGGGGCGACCCGTCAGCGCGGCAGCAGCAGAGGGAATGTGGCAGGGGGCAGAGGACGACGGCGAAAGTGACGGGAGGAGACCCAAGACTGTCGCTCTTGTCGGTAGCGCGCTTAAGATCCAGCGACGCCTGCGCCATGTCGCCGCGGCGCTCGACGCAATGATTGAAACTGCGTGCAGTCGGTGCAAGAAGCGAGCGAGGCCTAGCTGGCCCACCAGCTTCCCTGCTTCCTTCCTGCACCTTTCAATGCGAGAGCTAAACGCTCGAGGGCGCGCCGCCGGGTCCGCGGGCGGCTCGCGACAGCGCCCCGCTGGAGCCCCCCGCAGCCGTCGAAGGTGGTGACAGTTTCGCAGGTCGCAGCCTCCCAGGGATGGCGAGGTCTAATCTGAATTCGGGTGATGCCTCACTCCGCTTCGGACGTGCGACCGTTTCGCAGATCGCAGCCCCCCAGGGATGGCGAGGTCTAATCTGAGTCTGGGTGGTGCCTCACTCCGCTAGACCCCCCAGCAGCCCTCGAAAGTGGCGACAGTCTCGCAGATCGCAGCCCCCCAGGGATGGCGAGGACCCCCCCAGCAGCCCTCGAACGTGGCAACAGTTTCGCAGATCGCAGCCCCCCAGGGATGGCGAGGTCTAGTCTGAGTCTGGCTGGCGCCTCACTCCGCTGGACCCCCCAGCAGCCCTCGAATGTGGCGACGGTTTCGCAGATCGCAGACCCCCACCGAGCATCTAGGCAGGACGACGAGGTAGGAGGCAGGGTAGCAGGCAACTAGGAGAGATGAGAGGAGGAGGGAAGGCGGGAGAAGGACGGAGACCCCAGTGTTTTATTCAAAACGAGCCCCCAACGCAGGAGGGTTCGGAACAATAATATACAATAATGACATCATGAAGAACTACACTTGTAGCATCAGTAGAAGTAGTAGTGGTCAACTCATTCCCCGAACATTCAGCAGTCGAAGCTACCGATGGAGGGTGGTGCGAAGTGCATTCTTCCTCTTCCTCCTTTTCCTCTCCGCATCCTCTTACGGCGCGGTGGCGGCGACGATCGGAATCTAAACTCTCAGTCAACCGCGCACCCACTCGCCGAGAGGGGTACCCTACTCGGGCGCGGCGGCTCCTTCAAGGTTCCACCCGTGCTCGCGTTGACCCAGGGCTCGATGTCTTCCTCGTTCGTCGCATCCGGGGGCACCGTTTCTTTCTGCTTCTGCGGGGGTGTGCGGGGACGAAGACGGCGCGGAGGGGGCGAGAGAAAGGCGGAGGAGGAGCAGGCGGAGGAGGAGCAGGAGGATGATGAGGAGGAGACGCAAAAGAGGGACTCGCACTCGTGCGGCAACTTTCAGGGTCAGCGGGGGAAGGGAGGAGAGGGCTAAACGTGTGGTGTGTGGGTGTGTCTCTGTGTACATGTGCATGGGGTGGGGAAGCGCCACGCAGGGTGAGACAAGAGCAGAGCCATGGGGAGCGCACGAAGCAAGCGATGCGGGGGAGGGGGACGGGGCCGAGGATCGCGGCCACGTGCCCAGCGCGCCCAAGAAGGGGGCGACATACGGTCATCGTGCTACCACCCGAAGGAACACTGCACAAAGAACGAGCAGACTCTCCTGGCCACGGTGAGCTTCGGCCACGACCAGCTTTCCCGGCCTGAATCGGAGGACAAGCCCGCGGACCAGAGCCCCTCCTGAGCCCAAACCGGTCCACATGTCGACGTCTCGACTGTAGGAAGGGCAGCACCAGCAGGCCCGTCCCGAGGGCCTCCACTTGTGAAACAGTGAACTTCGAACTCCGCACCCTCCTGTTGTCTCTCTGAGTTGCGCTGTCAATGGCAGCACATGCAGCTTGGGCAAATGCCTTCGCAAGCCGCTGGTCCCAGGACATACCGCTGTCAAGAATTGGGACGGCAAGGGCGACACACTGAGGAGGGCGGAGGGGGGGCATCGTTGATTAGCAATGAGTGGACCCCTAACCCTTTCGCAGTGGACGCAAGTAATGAGGCCTGACACATTAGAGACAGGAGCCTTTCCAGCAGATGTGTCAAGCCCTTCCACCCATATTGATTATCCCTTATGCCAAGATGGGGACCTAAGTTAGGCTACGTCTTCATTGCGTTACCAAAGTTAAGGATGATAATATTCTCGATGACTCGTGGGACCGTACATGGACAAAAAGTTTGAACCTGCGGCGCAAGATACCCCCCAGACCCCCAAAATCAAAAATGAGGGTGCGGCAATGGAGAGGGCATGGGTGGACAGAAATACTCGAACCCCCAAACCACCATCCATGGTAAAATCAACATTGATTTCGGGGACTGGGGGGTGATGAGCATCCCCCTCAAGTGCGAGAGGGTTTGTGCAATGTACTGGAGATCAGTTCATGGGGCCGGACGCCTGGTTGGGCCCATCCCGCTGGCAGCTCTGCAGGTGGAATTGCTCCGACAACCTTCTGGGTCGCATTTGGGGACCTCCCGTTTGGGCGCTGAGCGGCTCCGTTCTGGCTTTGCCGAGCCCCTTCGGCAGAGATCGACAGAGCCACACAATGCGCAGCCCAATGCTGCGCTGGAACGGCCGGCCAGGCTTGCCGCAGGCAGCTGGCTCCGCAACACGAAGAAGCAACGGCCAGTGGGAGCTCGTGGCGTACATCGCTCGAGCAGGACGGGGAGGAGAGAAAGACTTGGAGCTGAGGGAGAAGGGGTCGTGGTGGAAGCGGGTCCTGTACCTCAGATTACCTCGGGGCTTCTCCCTTTGACCGGCTGCTCAGCCTGAATCGTTCATGACGGTCCCGGGGCCTGGGAGGAGCCCGGGGGGCCCCACGGTCGGGAACTTTTCCTTCGGGCGTTGCGGCGGCGGCCCCCGCGACGCGCTACGCCCTGCGAGCGGGTTGCTTTTCGTTTCGTTCCGCGGGGTGGGAGGCAGGGCGAACTCGAGACGGTGGCGCTTGACGTGGACAGCGTGTCGCGCCGAGGCGCGGAGGGCCAGCGCCAGCGGTGCGACACGCCAACCAGAAGCTCCCCACCGCAAGACATCGAAAGGCCTCGCCTCTGGGACACCTTTCGTGCAGGGATCGCGGCCACGTTTTTTGATCGACGGTGAAAAACTTTGACCACGTCTTCGGGGTCGCGGTCACCCTCTCTGATCGACAAGTTTGCGAGGTCGCGACCACGCTTCCTGATCGACGACCCAGAACTTTGATCGGCGATCACAAGTCATGGCTGATGGTGTCCCTCGACCTTCCAAGACAACTTCCCTGCAAAGCGAAGATGGCCGAGGGCTGCCAGGCTGGGGATTTGCATGATTCGCTGGCCGCGCCTTCTTCGCCGCCGAGCAACCCATGACAGCTGCGCGCAGCTCGGGCGCCGAGTCGTCTCCTGGGCCTGGCGAGGACGGCTGGACCGAGGGGGCAGCAGCGGGCGGGGGCTGTGACCTCCCAGTGGCCTCCTCCTCCCCCTCCTCCTCTACTTCCTCCTCCCCCTCCTCCTCCTCCTCCTCCTCCTCCTCCTCCTCCTCCTCCTCCTCCTGGCTCAAGTCCTGATCACACCGCGGGAGGTGCCAGGACATAGGGTTGCCTCCTCGGTCAGGGCCGAGGAGCTGGGGCCCAAGCCTTGCTTTTTTTGTGCGCTGACCAGCAGCGCCGCTCCAGGACAGCAGCCAATCCTGGAGCTGCCCCGTCCCCCGCAGTCATGGGCGGCACACGGCAACACAGCCGCGGCCGTGGTGGCGATAGTCGCAAGTACATATGCTGCCAGACTGGAGGGTGCAAGGGGTGAACATGGGCTGACAAGCCGTTCAAGTTCTGCGGGCAGTGCGGATCAGCCTTCCTTGGTCGACGGTCTACCACCTCGACCCAAGCCCAGGACGAACCGAAAGGCATTCAGAACAGGTGGCGAAGGCGCACAGTCAGCCCAGCGCCGAAGAGCCATCCCCGAGCCGCGGGAGTGCGAGTCCCTGAGGAATCCGAACGCGACCAAGTTGCCGTGTGTACGGCGGCGGTCCAGTTCTGGAAGAAAATGGAAGGCATCTCAGGGCCCCACTACCTGCAGGCCGTCAGTGAGTTGAAAGCAATCAAGGCGTCGTCGTTGGCAGCGAAACCTTGGGATCAGCAGCGGAAGTCCCTGCACGATCAGCTCGATGTGACGAGGAAGAAGCTCGCCAACGCCAAGCAAGAGTGTGATAAATCAGTGGAGACCATGGTGACATTGGCCAACGAGTATGAGAAGCAGGTCAAGCACGTCTCTGATCTGACTGCAGAGGTGCAGCAGTTGGAGACCCAGCACCAGATGGCGGTCCAGCAGGCGCTCAAGGAGCACGTGCCCGAGACCCCCACGCTGGAGTCGTACATTACCAGCCAGTTCCCGCCAGGGCTCACGCCCTCCCCCGAGGTGCAGATGGCGGTCGCGCAGCTCTCCGCCAAGCTGCACGAGGAGTGGACCAATGCCCAGGCGAACATCCTGTCGCAGCAGTCCCAGGCCCCAGCCTCGCAGGGCAACGAGGCGCCCGCGGAGGCCGCTCCAGGGGGGGGCCGCCGCCGCAGCGCCCCCCGCAACCCCAGCCGCCGCGACTCCTGCTCAGCCGCCTGCGACCACGGGTGGAGCGGCCCCTGCAGGCGGGGGCCTCAGCGCGGCTGCCGACGCGGCCCTCGACGCGGAGCAGTCGGCCATGGAGGAGGAGGTGGAGCACCAGCGCCTCGCGGGCATCAAGCGCGCGGGGGAGGCGCTCGGCCAGGTGCTCAACCTGCAAGGCCAGAACGTCTCGCAGACGGAGGAGCAGCAGGGCCAGGTCGCCGAGCTCCAGAAGGCTGCCAAGACCCTGTGCGTCGCCGCCAAGGGCAAAGGCGGCAAGGGGCCAGACGGCAAGTCGTGTGGGTAACACGGTCAGATTTGCCACGATCAACGGGAGCTGCCGGAGATCCATCAGGAAATTCATCCTGTCTTCAGCAGCTCAGGCAGTAGACATTATATGCTGCCAAGAAGTGCGAGTTTTGAATGACGCGCTCCCCTTCATTGTGCAGTGGTGTGGGCGCCAGGGGTGGCATGCGATACTCTCCCCAGCCGTGCTTAGTGATAAAGGGTTCCCTGTGCAAGGCACAGGGATTTTGATTCGCGATGGGCATGACTTCGGAGTATCCAGAGTGCGGCTTCCTGCAGGGGTATCAGAGTCGCGCTGCGCAGCAATTTCACTTGAACTTCCTGGACATCGTCCGTTCGTTCTCGTCTCTATCTACTTGGCCGACGGGGTGGGCCTCAACAAGTATAACTTAGAACTTCTAGCAGGGGTTGCAATGATTCAAGACGCTGTCCGACAGCCACTCATCATTGCTGGGGATTTCAACGTTTCGACCAATAAGCTCATCGAGTCGAACTACCCTTTGCGTGCGGGCCTCAAGATCTTGGCCCCTAACACTCCGACGTGTAAGATGAAGAAGTCTGCTAGCACTATCGACTTCGCGTTAGCCTCGTCGCGCTTCGACCAGGACCTCTCGGGAGCCACCGTCCTCGACGATTACCCGCTGAGCCCCCACAGGCCCGTCCTGTTACAGCTTAGGTGTGGTCAGCCCTTCATGGTGCCCGTCCTGGAGAAGCCCCAACCCTTCTCGACTACTAGGCCCTATGGGCCATCGAACTTCGCGCCGTCTTGGGATAAGACCTCAGCTGCCCTGGACTTCCTGGACCAGGTCATCGCCCAGGAGAGTGACATAAAGGCCCGCATGCTGGCCCTGAACTCCGCGTACCAGTATTTCGCTAACGACATGGCTAGGTCGATCAGCATCCGCACGGATACGCCGATCAAGTCGCCCACCATGCCGCGCGTAAGCCTGCCCAAGATTCGCTGGGCACCAGGAGCCGCTCGGGAGGTGGAACCAAGGGCCAGTTGGAGGAGCTTGTCGATCCCGATAAGATGGTTGAAAAACAAAGTTATGGATGTCATCCGAAGGTTTCATTCCAAGGACGAGTTCTACCTTTCGGAGATTTTGGTCAGAATCCAGTCACCACCTCCAGAGTTAGAAGGCGCCGAGGAGTTTGCCCGTCTGCTCGTCAGTGTTAGGGCAGCTCTAGGCGCCGCTGCTCAGGATCAGGACAACGGGGTGATGGACCCCAAGCTCGTTTTGAAGGTTTTCGAAGAGCTCGATGAAGCAGTTGATCGAGCGCTGCAAGCTGAGGAGGCCAAGGATCGCCAAAGTGAAACCACCTCGTGGCATAACTGGGTCCAGGAGGCCATGTCTCGAGGGGTGGGGTGGGCACACAGGTGGACCTCTAAGCTCACCAGTTGGCAACCTCAGAGAGTCTGGCGCCCAGAGCTTCAGACATTTTCAGGCCGGCCTTTCGAGCTGCTCCAGTCGGAGGCTTCCCGCTCGGCAGGACTCTGGCAGACCACGGAGCAGGAGCAGGATTTTAACTTGCCCTCCGCCATGCGTGACTGCCTGGAGCCGATCACGCCTGGTCAGATTCGGTCGGCAGCCAAAAGGTTTTCCAAATCAACCAGCCAGACATGGGATGGATTTCACCCTCGTCATTTTGCCTATCTGAGTAACCAGGAGTTGGAGCATGTTTGTAAGCTTTTGGCTGCCATAGAAGAGATTGGAGTTTTCCCGACAGCGATTCGCAGCATTATCATCACCCTCATCGAGAAGCACAAGGCCGATCAGTCTGAGGGCCCCTCGTACCGTGGCATTGGTTTGCTTCCCGCGCTTTGGAGAGTTTGGTCCAAAATCCGCCAAGTCGAAGCTCGCCGTTGGGAGGGGGCCAACAAGAGGCCTTATCTGGCGCATCAGTCTGGTCGAGGGGTGCTCGAAACGGTTTATGCTCAGGCCATGAAGGCCGAACTAGCTGGCTATCAGGCTGTACATACTGGTGGTGTTCTTTGGGATTTATCTAACTACTATGAGAACGTGAACCGCAAGAAGTGGAAGTCTCGGGCCATATCGTCTGGGTTTTCGGAGACGCTAACGTGTGTTATGATGAACCAATATGGGGGCCCGAGGGTTGTGGCTACAAGGACCTTGGCAATTTATGCTGGTTGTGCCACAAAAGGTTTTCCTGCTGGATGCTCTTTTGCCACCTACAACGTGCAAATGTACACGGTGCCCCCCATGGATTCCTGGGTTCCGAAGTTCCCCTCCGTGGACCCCTCCATCTTTATAGACGATTTCATGTTGGGCAGCAGCAACACTAGTATCAGACTTCTGGTGTCGGACTTGGCGCAGGCCGCCGACAGCATGCTAGATTTAATCGAGGAGGACCTCGATTGCTCGGTCGCGCTGCACAAGGCGGCGGTGCTGGGCTCGTCCGCAGATGTGCAGCAGCGCTTGGCAAAGGCTCTAGGCAAATACAATGGACCCGATGGAGTCCACCAAGCTCAGTCTGCGCCAAACCTAGGAGTTGATTTCACCATGGGGAACCGTCTTAGGAAGAAGAATCGCGTGACCCTCAAGAAGCGAACGACCAAGATGAAACGACGTCTCCACCGTTTGGCGCAGATTAGGCGTGCAGGCGCGAACATGCGCAAGGTTTATCAGACGGGGTTGAAAGCGGCAGCCTACTATGGAGCAGAGGTTGTTGGCTCAACCAACCCCGAGGCGCATGAGGCCCAGTCCCTGTACCTCAAGATTGTGGGCCCCCGCTGTGCTACTAGGTCCAGGTCTCTGGCTCTCTCGATCCTGGGTGGCCCGACTTGGAGTGCGGCTCTGGGGCCGGCGGCTTATTGGGCAAATCTGATTTGGAGAGTTGCTCATTATCCTGGTACCGTAAGTTTCTCGCTTCCTGGTCTTCGAGCCCAAGCCCTCGAGGTGCTCAACAAGCCTCCCAAGAAGTGGTACCAAATCCGAGGGCCCCTTGGGGCCACGCTTCTCAGTCTTAAGCGTCTGGGATGGTCAATGCCCGACCCGTTCGTTTTCCAGAACTCGGACGGCCAGGATTTCCCCTTCATCACGACCTCTCCCGCTCTAATTAAGAAGATGTTTCAGAGCCAATGGCAGCAGCAGTTGGATCTTCGCGCGAGTAAGAAGCTCGGCCTAGACGAGCCGCTCGACGCCACGGTCATGCAGCACGCGCTGCAGGACCAGTCCATCCAAGGCCACAAGCGCAAGACGCTGCTCTCTTTCGGCTGCCAGTGTATTTGGACCAAAGAGAAAATGACGTCTGCAGGGTATGGCGGTGAAGTCGTGTGCGACTTATGCCGGGGCCCCGTGGACTCCATCCCCCACAGACTCTTCGAGTGCCCGCAAACGGAGAACCTGAGGAAGGAGATGTTGAAGGAGGGGGACGTGGAGGAGCTCAGAGACGGGAGGAGGGGATTTCCATATGTCTTGGGATTTCAGCTTCGACCAGAACCGATTGCTCTGAGGCCCCCTGGTTTAGGATTAGACCAAGCGGTGTATTGGTCTCGTGATGGGCTACCCAAGGAGGTGGCCATGAATGGAGAAGTGTTTCACGATGGCAGCGTTTTAAAACCTGGGCCCGCGGTTTATGATGCCCCTGCCTGGTCCGTGGTTAAAATCGACGAGGAGGGCGACCTAGTTGCCTCCCTCTCGGGGCCCGTGGGGGCCAGCCTGCCCCCGACGTCGCCTGCTGCCGAACACTTAGGTTTTCTAGCTGCCGCCTCGTGCCCCAGAGTCACGAAGGCGTGGACCGATTTCAAAGGTATCCTCTCGGTCCACCAGAGCCCTGAGGTTAGTAGGAAAGAAATGTAATCTGGAGTTTCTGTTTTGGCCAGGTCCCAGGCCAGTTTCAGGTCCCTCGAGATTGCGAAAGTGAAGGCGCACCAGGATCTTGAGTCCCTGGAGGCTGGCTCGAGGGACTGGTTTCTAGCAGCAGGAAACGACTGGGCGGACAAGGTGGCCAAACATGCTGCTGCCTTGTTCCCAGCCCCGTCGACTTCGGAGATTGAATTTTATAAAGAGATTCGCAGCAGGGTGCAGAGGTTCGTGCGATTTGTTGGTGAGGCCCTTTCACTTTGGGCACCGCTGGCGCCGAAGACTGGGAAGAAAGCCTTCGCCACCCCAGCCAAGAGCCTCAATCCCCCTGTGGGGGCAGCGGGTGCGGTCCATGAGTGGCTTACCCCCCCACCCCCTGCTGCGGGTCCCAGGCGTGCGAGTGCACGTGGCAATGCCAGTAGGCACACTTGGGGCTGGTTGAACGGTCACTGGCTGTGCCTACTATGCCATACTAGAGCTAGATCCGACGCCACCAAGAAAGCCCGCACGGCGGAGCCGTGCCCAGGCAACTCGGCGACACTCTCTCAATTAATTAGAGACCCCCAGAAGCACCAACTTATGATATGTGATTACCTTGATATTGAGTCCTTCATTGTTGTGTGCAGGAGGTGCGGCCGATATACGGAAAGCAACCTCAAAGGGCTCAAAGGTGAATGTAAGGAGCGCTTCCGAAGCAAGTTCTCCCAAGGTGCGTGGTCTCTTCTGTCAGGCGGCCAACATCCCAAGAGCAGTATGAAGGCCCGCCCCCGACTTGCCCTGCCCTTTCCTGCTGCCCAGCTCCTCAAGGAGGGAGCGGCGAGGCAGGATACATGAGAGCATAAGTGGTGAGCGGATGTAACCTTAAGATTTCGGTTAGGGTCGGGTCGGCCTAACCTTAACCTTCCTCATTAGCCTGTGATGGTCCTCCTCCTCCTCCTCCTGCTCCTCCTCCTCCTCCTCCTCCTCCTCCCCCTCCTCCTCCTCCTCCTCCTCGGACTCTTCCCCCTCTCCCGCCTCCGCCTCCTCATCCTCCTCCTTTCCTCCTGCTCCTTCTTCTGCTCCTGCTCCTGCTCCTCCCCCTCTTCCTCCTCCTCCTCCTCCTCCTCCTGCTCCTCCTCCTCCCTTTTCTTCTCCTCCTCCTCATCCTCCTCATCTTCCTCCTCCTCTTCCTCCTCAT